CGCGGAAGGGCATAATCGCATAACATTAAATCGGCGCTCGTTCACAGTTACTTTCCCGCCTTCCTGCCATTTCTCTTCGGTCTTCCCTTCGCGTGGTGTACGCCCTCCGCGATCATTCTTTCCCTACGTCTGTATTCAGCTTGCGCGCGTGTCGAGCCGCACAATGAATTTGTATCGGACGCGAGATCGTTGCGCATAATAGTCTGTTAATTATTTCAACGTTATGTTTCAGCTTAGCGTATCGTGAGATTGATCTCAGGCGAATCCGTCAAACGTACCGTGAATCGCGGAAATGAGAAATTGGAGCTTTATAGACTGTTACGAGAATCTACATAAATGTTATTAATGTACACACACGCTTTTATGAGTTCGAAGAGATAAGCATACAGGCCTCTGAAGAATTAAAACAGCTCTTAAATATTCGACTATCTAAATTTTTGAATGTTTAAGCTCTTAAGTGTACGAAAGTACCATTGCAGTATACACATAAACAAGTATTGATTACATGCGTTCATTCTACGCGTTATCTACACACATTCCACGCTTATACACCTATCTGAAATTGGTAATTCTGGAATTCACCGGTTTCACAACTACTTATCCGGTAAGGAGTTAAAAAAGTTGTGTAAAATAAAAAATTGATTGTTAATTAAATGTACGGATTACTACCTTTACGGTTAGAAAGTACGTCCGTTTATGGCTGTTGTGAGAGGAAAATTAACTGGAAGAATGTACGATCGTCTCTCATCGGGTGTAATCGAGAAAGTAACAGCGAGATACTTTTTCGTTGGAACAGGGTTAATTGTTAATTGGACGCATGTCTTGCGACATTTATCACTTTAGATAACCGGTGTTTACCGGGTATTTCCTAACCAGTTCCTGCGATTATTCATAAATCTAAGCAAAATCTTGTCGCATGTTTTTTCCTTCAAACTAATAAGGCACCTGGGTACCGGCATTCATTGACAGTATATGCAACTGGCTCATAACAAGTGACAGCCCGGGGGCTGTTTTATTAGGGCACCGTGTATCTTATGTAAATTAAATGCATATAAAAATTCCAAGATGTCTGATCATTTTGAACTTCAAAATTAGTCGTTCCTCAAGGCGAAAATCTGTGAACTATCCTTTTACAGGCGTTCTTAAAGAGGAACAAAGATTTTTTAAAACGATTTCACGGTATGTGCAACTGTATTTCCAAAAGGCTCGAATTTTTGTGGAAATCGGAAAGCTAGAGGTTGAACAGTTTGCGCTGTAGTTATTAGAAACACGCTGTGAGTATGTACATGGGATACTTTTACGTATGTATGTGTAAGTATGTACTCACGTGGTGTTGGGTAGTATGCACGTAAAATGGAAGGGAAACAGACCCACCAGACAGGTGGTCCGTTCGCGTAGGTACGTTGCCGTGTACTCATTGGCAAGTGAGATGCCATTAACGGGAGTACAATATCGGGAAAAATCGAGGAAACCATCGCTTCGCATCGTTTATCAGCGAACGCGAAACAAGCCAGCCGATCATATATCATGCAGCAGTAAAGACTTTCGATTTATGGATAGAGAATATTGCGTTGTGCGTACGGTTGCACGGTGCGTGAAAAAATCCACGGACGCCTGCGTGGAGAGTGCGGATTGATGAGGATTGAGGAATTTCGCGAGTTAATGGTTTTATGGGTGTCTGAGACTTGGCTCGGGAAATTAATTGTTCGTTTAATTTATAGACGTCCGAGTAACCGGTCGGGAACCGAATAGAGATTAAAAAGTTTTCCTCCAATTCGCACTATTTAAAAATTCCAAGTTGATTACCTACCGGTTGAGAGTTACATAAACTCTTTTCGTAAGGGACAGAAAATGAATCGAATACTATTCTCGTCGAAAAAAGATATCGTCTTTGGACAAAACGTCTATAATACTGAATGCTGCATAAATATTTAACTCATACTTTGTTTTGCATGCAATTCGATGCCACAGCCTACTTGCCAACAAGTCTTAACAGTGAGATACCTTTCGCCATGGAAGTAAGACAATTTGTATTCAAGCTGCCATTCTTTTCCGCATATTTTACCAATTTGGAATTTTAATAGGAACGCTCGAAGTTGTTCGTTTTCGATCGGTCGTTGCGTTGCGTTCCTTGCATGGTAGGTATGCTGGATATAAAATCGAGGGAAACCGAGTTTCGTGCGAGTACGTTTTAACTCTCTTCACATTTTACATTCCCCGTATTTTCTAAAGATGCACATCCATAAAGAAGTGTAAAGTTTAAGCAACGTTCTACCCAAGACATACAGATCTCGAGGGCACCGGTGCGGTGCACAGCGGTGTAACGAGAGTACCGTGCGTGCCTGAAAGCACGGCAATTACCGAGCTGCCCCTCTTTTCAGGGAACACGCAACCCGTGCATCGTTGTGCAAACATCATCAAGAGATGTAATAACTGTGTAAAGGCAGAATTTTAAGCGCCGTGACCTGCATTCATATCCTTCAACGATTCTCTAAACCGCGATTTCACAGAACAGATGAAACACATCTTCCATTTCGCGGACGATTTTCCCATTCGGGATATGAATCAAGCTCTGTAAAGCTACAACCGAAGTACGTTACAACGGTGGGAAATGTACATGGAAATTAATTGCCTCTAAACAAAGGCTGGCGAAAAGCACAGATCGAAAAAAAAATAAGCTTCACTTCGTTCACAAAATGAAAAGAAAACGTTTACAGATCAATGGGAATTCGACCGAACGAGAAGAATGAGAGAAAGACCGCGTGCGCAGAACTCAAAAGGGTTCAGGGTGTAACAGTCCATTATTTGTTTTAGATATTAATGTTCCCCGTGAACGATCGATAATTTACATCGGACGTAATCGCACGGTGTGCATCCTCTATCTCTAGCGCAGAACACGTTGAAGGAGAAACGGTGAGCCACGATGCGGAGAAGGATAAAGGTAACCAGAGAGAAAGGAGACCCGTGTAAACAATAAATCACGATAAATACGTTTGCCTGGACCATTATAAAAGCTCGAAGCTGCAGGGGTGGGGGATCGGCGCGATCGGCGAAGGAGGTGAGGCCCGAGCTGGTGAACCGGAGAGAGAGTTCACCGATATGCAGCCCCTCCCTGGGGCTACTCCCGATGCAGCCTATCCTCGCAGGCTGCGCATTACGATCGCTTAAGTCTCGGCTCGACTATCGAGTGATCCATCGCCTACGAATTCGACGAAGCCTGCCGCCTACCCTCGGGACATCTTCAACTAATGAACGTGTCTCGATCGTACACTGCTCTGCCCTCTCTCTCTCTCCCTCCTCCTCTATCTCCTCTTCTTCCTTCTCTCAGATTCCATTCTTCCTCTTCTAATTCATTCTTCCCTCCAGTCTTTGCATTTGTTTTTCTTATTATTTCTTCTGGTTACTTTTTCCTTTCGTGTTTCTAACTATCTACGAGATTCCAAACGTGTTCGTGTAGAAGTCTGTGGTTCAGTATGCTTTTGTTTCAGCAGGTTTCTAATTAAGAAACCGAATGAACTCATGCTCCTGTTCACGACCATAGATTTGTTCCCGATATATCAGAGACGACAGATCGAGCCCAAATAATCCTCGAGGAGCGATAAAATTTTTAACCAGCCATAAGACTAGACGCGAAGACGCGACACCTTGGCATTCATAAATATCCGACCCGGTATTAGATCGACGAGATTTCCATCGGTTACGGAGAGGATCATTTAAACAGCATGCCGTGCGTAGACGTGCAATAGTTGCTAGATAGGCGGAAAAGCGCATTCCTGAGGAGGTGCTGTCTGTTCACCTATGCCACCAATGCGTTCTCGGTACGTGGAGAAGCGGTGCGATGCGACGCGAACGGAAAGAGTGAATGAGAGAGGAGAGCAAGCTAGGTAGATACCGGGCCCCGCGGGGGGCTCATAATTGCCGGCCCTGAAGATCGTCCGACCCCATGGGGCCCTTCTGTGTTTGTTTTATTCCCTAGTTATACAAACGTGAGATCTACGACCGATATATGATAATCGGCCTCTAGTTCTCTCCGGGGCCTTATCTCTCCGCCTCTATCCCTTCCTTTTTGCCCGTTTTTTTTTCGTTCCATCGCCATTCTTTTTTCCTTTTTGGTCCTTGCTCCTTGAAAGTTGGGTGACCACCTTACGTGACTATATTATGCACGCTGATAGACAAGAATACGTCCGGGCCAATTTCAGCTTCGAGCACACCAGTATCGTGGAAGCTTTCGCCACGTCTCATCATTTATGATTTACATTCATTCAAATCCCCCCTCCCCCAACTATGATTAATACCTTTTGTCGCGTACCACCGTAAGCGGCCAATAGCCTGACTAATCAGTTATACTGTAGTGCATATAATATAACAGTGCTGTTCAATTGGATAGTCTCGAATAGTCCGTTTCGTAAGAAATTGCAATGTCAATAAAATAACATAGATATATAAATTTACATAATATAAATACATATACGTATAAAATGATAAAATGTAGAATTATTGTAAATGTTTCTTCTCTGATTTAACTGAGATTAAACGCTTGAGGCTACATATTTTTGCGAAATAAATTCTTAATGAAACGAGTGTGCGTGGTCCTAGTTTCAGGGTGCAGAATAGCGTTATCTGTGAGCCTCCATATTTCAAAGAGATAGCTTTGCAAATGCAACAAGTTGCTCCAAATACATGTAATAGACGGTATCTTAACGCGAAGAAACAGACATAGCAATTAATCATTAAGATTGCGTGTGATACGCGATAAATATACGTGATCGAATACCAACGTACGATATAAAACGCGAAAGTTAGAACGGTTGCTCGAGTTTCGAAAGAAAGAATGCTTTTAAAAATAAGGACCGCATTTAAATTGGCCAAGTATGAAGGAGTTGCCAACAATAATCGATTAGCTTCGCAGACTCGTCATCGACACACTCCACATACTTAGAATAATTAATGATTGCATTGACAACAAGTGCAAAGTATAAATACAGTTGTTGTGCACTTACCTCACTGTCGATCTTCTTGAACTCTGGGTCGTCCTCGTCCACCTCGAAGTAAAGTTCCGTGGACGTCACGGAGATAATACCGGGTGCCACGATACCGGGAGCGATCAATTTTCCTTTCGTGCTGATGTTTACTGGACCTGACGAAATACAATTTCGATTTCAACACACGTGCAAGGTATAACCAAAATCGCACACGCACGCGTTTTATACAATCCAAATTCCACTAGAACGCATTACGTTTCACACTATGCACACGAACAAAATGCAAAGGATCTAACCCGTCAGGTCGTTATCTAGATCCCTGTCGTCCGACAACAGCTCACTGTCGTCCATCAGATCCGCCGACTGCAATTGCTGCTGGTGTGCACGCGAGGCTGCGAGATGCGCGTGAAATTCTTCACGCGCTTGCAGAATCGCATCCTCGGGTGCACCGTGCTCGAGGGCCGCCTTCAGGGTAGCCTCGGGATGGCTCGAGCCTAGTGGATTGTGCACGAAACGCTTACGTCTACGTGCATCATCCTCCCAAGCATCTAGCTTCCAGTATTCGGCCATTCTACATCGAATACCATTTTTAATCGACATCTTTTATTTTCGAAAAAAGATTTATTTTCGATAAGGAGAACTTACTTTGCAGCCATTGGATCCACATATCCCCAAGCGCCATGCTTATTGGACAAGATATTTCGAACCTTCTCCAACAATCTATTGGCAATAACATTGTCTCGTCTTCGTGCTGCCGTAATCAAGTGATCGCACATCCGTTCCTCTTCCCTTCTGTCGAGCAACGTCTGCGCGCATTGCGACTAAAACGCACATGAAATTTTGCATTCAACGATACAACCAATTTAGAGCGCAAATATGTTCAAATTATCTGAAATAAAGTTCAGATACCTCAAAGTCGGCATGCTTCAGCACATCGTCCGCTCTCATCCGATTCAGTATAAATTCAGCCTCGTTGGCCACTCTCACAATATGATCCTTCATCGCGTGAGACAGTAACCTGCGCGGCATAAACGTAAACTTTTACGATAGAACATATTACGGGAACGTCGAGTTCGGTTGAACGCGCGGTTTACTGCGCGCACTATAACTTCGCCTTTCTAACGATCATCATAACAAGCCCTTCTTACCTTCCCTCGTTAATGAGCTCGATGAACGCCAGACCAGCGTGTTTCTGTAAGGAATTTTGCCATTCTTGGGAACAAAGCAGCATCACCAGTTCCACCACGGAGTTGCTGTTTTTGAACGTGGTCAGACCTGGCGCAGAACCAAGGAAAACGTTAAAAGTAAAATAGTCGTCGCCTTCCATTAATTTATTATTCGAATAATCGATCGCATCGGACAAGGGCAATTTGAAGCATTAGCGCAATAATAGACAGTGAGAGAGAAGTCACGGCTGAAACGCAGTCGTAAAAACATCAAGAAGCGAATAAAGAGGACATAGATGATCGGATGATTTATAAACGCTTCGGGCATTGTTTAAAAATAAAAGTGCATCGATACACGGCACGGCCGCTATGCGCGACGTACCACGAATATAAAATGCTCGCAAAGTGCCACAGACTGCGCCGCGTCACTTGAATACAAATGTCCGACGATTATCCCATGGTACACGTTCCATCTTTCTAAGCGAAACCATAAACTGACTAATTTGAATACATCCGACGCGACCAACCGAGATAGATATAAGCAGAGGAATATATGTATACGCCGGGTGTGGGTAATAAACGGCTCAAGAATCATCGTGTCTCTTAAACTATTAACGCTGAACATATTTGCCAACAAAGATTTTGGCAAAAGAAATTGTAAAGTGAAGCACATGCATACAAACATCGATGACAAACTTGCACAAACTATAAAAGTAATATATGGCAATATATTTTAAAGAGGATTTATGGCTTTCATTAACAGATGGCAGTAACAGTAAAAATATCCACTTTAGCTTTCTGAGCAGGCGTTGTGTGATGCGTTTATTTTAATGGTCGTTAATTCTTTCGCGAATAGTTATTCTAAACAAAAATACGTAAAGCATCACTATACCATTTTTTGCGAGTGGGGATAGCTCTTAACACTAGAACCACCGACTATTTTTTATACGTGCATTTCTCCGTTCAGAACCAGTCATTTTGACTAGTGTGGTAGTTCCAGTGTTAAAAATTCAGTAAATGAAAAGCAATTAGCATTTATATCAGGTATGCTTCTTACGATACTTTGAATAAAACTTGTAGTTATTATAACATATAATTACTTGCCAAAATAAATAATTAAACAACTGAAGATTGAATACAAGAGACAACTTATTATACAGCAATTTCTGGATATATGGCCACCGAGCGAGACCGGGGTTGGCCATATATCCGGAGATGACTGCATATAATATATTATTGATTATTATTATTATTACTAAAAATGATATAATTTTAGAGAAAGATAACAATTCGTACATCTTCGTTAGATTCAATCTCCAGTATTATGAAAAAAAATCAGTGTTATGGAAAAGCAGTCACATCGAACATATAAGTAGGTTAATGGACTAGATTGCACTTACGAGTCCTACCTTTGCCTTCCATCAGCAACTCCTGTCCGTGGGAACCAACGAGTGTCTTCGAAAGGAATGGTGCGAAGTCTACCATGATCTCGCGCAATAGCGGGCAAACGGAACCTAGTGCCATTTCCAGCTTCTGCGTGAGCGAAGCCTCGCGCGAGGGCGTCGGAACAGGTAAGTGATCGACCAACCCTTTTATTGGTAACTCGTCCGGTCGTGGCGAAGAGGAAGTCATCATTAACCTGTCGGACACGCGGACCACCGAGATTTCACCGGAAGGTTTTTCCCCGCGTTCCGTATTTCCCATCATTCCCTGGTCCAACACGTTGCCCTCGCTATCTTGAATATCGCCTGTAAATCAAGAAAATGAAATTGAATTAGGTCTTGGTTGAAAATCGTATCCCCCAGTTTAATAGAACGAAATATCTTCACTCGAAAGCAAGAATTGAAAATTTTTTAGAGGAAGCTTATTGAATATTCAAGAGGGGTAGGAGGAGTTGAAGATGTTATCATTATTGGGGATTTAGATCCAAATCCGAGAAAATAGTTGCTAGGCAGGTAGTTCGTAGATTCTTATCTTTAGTCTTAACATCTAAAGGTTATTACGCTCTAGTTATCTAGAATTGAGGATAATAGAAAACTAAGCAAAAGAGTAGAAATACATGGGAGAAATCTTTATCCGTGATCTTGAAACTCGAAAAGTGAACGTCGTATTTAGAATTTTATTGTCGACAATAATAAAAATTTGTATTAAAAATATTCTTACCACGAGACTGTGCCATATTGTGAATATTTCTCGGATCTTCCCTTTGATTCGTCATCGGAATCGTGTCCCCGTCTTCGTTCAGGTTCACGTCTGTCCAAGCCTCCTCGGAAGAGTTATGTTTGTTCTCATTGTCTGTGGTTACATCTGACGGAGTCGCATCCGCAGTTATGTTACTACGATGCACCGTTTCTTCGCTGGAGTCGTTGCTCTGATAAAATGAAATCACGGTATATTATTAAGCAATTTTATAAATTACACAAAGAACGACTCCGTAATATACGAATCTGTAAAAATTTAGAAATAGAAATTTCATTGGTTTTAGCATGATCCTGAAGTGGAATTGAAAAGAATCTGTTAATATAACTTCAAGAATTTCGATTGATTCGTTAAATCAATTCCTTCGGAAATAGATTCATCGTTATAGAAGTGTATCTAACAACGTTACTTTCAATTGAGATTATTGTAAACGACACTACAGCTACTTTGCTACTTGATACAAAATACTGAATTTTGTTAACAAAACACGCTCTATTTAGTAATACAAAGAACGTTTACTTAAGAAGAGTATCTAACGATATATTCCGCGATTAAGACTCGCGTGCTATGCACTCGACATCATGCAGTTAGTAATCGTAATACCACTAATACGCAGTCATCTAATTTACATGTAAACAAGAAAAGCTTTTTATATTAATTTTCAAACTACGAAATTTGTAACGGCTACGCCGCCGTGTCGTACTTAATCGTAACCATTAGCTACATCCTGAACGTTAAAAATAAGGATGAGCCACTAGTTAATAAACGGATCAATTTTATTTTCATACTGTTTTCTGCAATTAAACCCGTCGACTGGTCATTTGTTAGTAGTTGTGTTGTCTGTTCTTAATTTTGGTTAAATGAAAGAGAGAACAAGACAATTACTTTTATTTTATAAAAAGATGGAAATAATTAATTGAATGATTAATCTCCAGAAACATCCGCTTTCATTTATTTTTCTTTCTGGTGTATAAAATCTTTCTCTGATATTCAAAATCATTCTGTTCCGAGTCCGAGTCAAAGTCAAAGTTTTACCTGGACATTTCGTGGCAGTGGTTCAGTGGGTCTTGTCGAGGTGCCAAGCGTTGGTTCTGACGAGGTGTAATCCTCGAGAATAGTCCGTGGCCGAGGTACACCACTGTGACCTCCCTTCAGAACCAATAGTTAGTACGCATAGTAATGCAAGCAGAGGAAGTTAACGTTCACAAAGATTAAAGATTAAAGAACGTGGGGTGTCGCATGCTCGAAAGTATTACAGATAGATAGATAAGTTTAGCACCTCGTTAGAGATCTCATCGGATTTATACATATACGCATTCGAGGGAATCGAGATATACCTAAGATGTACTTTCTTAGTGTTATGGGATCGTCGACAATTTTTAGATAATTTTACGTGCGAAAGTAAGAACTGTAAACGTGTAATTAGATAATACTCTGTACTACTTAAGTGCAAAAGAACATTGGTAAGATATTTTACTAACAATTAAGTAAACACTACATGCTGAATGTAGCAGAATCTGTTACATTTTTTAAATAGATCAAAGATTGCGGTTGGCTAATATATGTTAACTACCAAGATATGATTGAGCTACTTCTAAGGAAAATTTTTTTTCGGAACTATCATTTTGTGGACTTGTAATCTACATTCTTTTACCATTATGTTTCCGTCAAAGATCTACTGCTTATTGTTAGTACTTGGGATGCATGCAGTTCGTTCGTTTATTGATTAACAATTTCAACAGAGACACGTGTCAAGAATTTCAGCTTCTCAATTATCTACAGTAGTCGGGAAACGATAGTTGAATAAACGAATGCAAAGCTGATCGCGTGGGCGAAATAGTGCCAATTTCATCGTAGATCGTGCGTGACAAGAGAGGTGCAATAGTCATGTCACCATCAAAATTATGTGTACATCCGAAATACTTCGAAACGATCATTACACCTTATTTTTAATCGTAATGAACATACAACGAAATACTGACTGTATCTCATCAAAAGCATGCAATCTCAAGTAAAGTTGTCACAAATCTCCTCGAACATCGAGTTTTGTACATATATACCGAGAAAATCAAAATTTCGCTATGTTATTCGTTAATTTCATGTATGAAAACAGCATTAATATATTTGCAAGATTTTTTCCTTTTACCTGAGAATAACGGATCAATTAATTCCGACGTAAGCATCTTTCGTATCGGTAGATCTTTTACGTTCTTTAAAACCGGTGCGCGGCTAGAGAGTCGAAGGAATAAAACTGCGAGCGCTTACCTTGGTTGATGGAGGACCGGATGATGTGACATCGTGATCAGCCAGGATCGACGAATTGTTCTCGTCAACTATTATCACTTCGTATTCACCGTCGTCCTGAGAGCCGGCTTGACTCATAATACCTCCGCTTCCTGGGAACATAATTTCGTCGTTATGATGAAGCGTGCCTTGGAAAGTCGCGATATTATTTTGTCTTACAAAGCAGGCTGACATGGACGATCATGCGATCGACAATTTCGTTAACTACGAATATCGCAATTACCGCGACAGAATTTCATTCGACAGTTCTATGGTTCGTTCGTGTCGATCGTATTGCATGGGAAGAAAATGCATTGTGGTGCAGGAAATTAAAACGGAAAGGAAAGAAACAACAATTTTTTACTCTTGTTTCGCTTTTCTTGGGTATTACAAAATAAAAAAAAATCAGTAAATGCAACGGTATTATTAAAAATTGAAACCCCTTCACATGCATAAGAGTAGCGAATGTCTTCAGTTTTTACTCTCATTATAATAATTGCAATAATATTCCAAAGAAATATGTATTGTTCTTTAGGTATAATATTCTGCAGGTTCTTAGCTAGCAGAACAGGTCATGCAAGCTAGCTGTCATTTACTATTAAATTTTTAGTTATTATTAAAGAGGATTTATATTCTTTGTTAGCAAAATGAATATAGTATTCGTGTGAATTTGCACTGTGAGATAATAGGCATGCAGACTTCCTGACTGCTCGAAAATATAGCAAATGCAGGATGCATATTCATTCGCAGTTTGTGATTCAAGCTTATGAACAACATTCACGTAGTATAACTAATTAAAAGATAATGAACAAATGTTCCGTGAAGGCAATTTTTTTCATCTCTCTTTTATAAAATTAAGGAAAACCTGAACATAAAAATAGTAATCATACAAAAATACTAGAAGTCTGATCAAATAGTTTATTTTCGTGAAACGAAAGATCAAGCCGCGCCGTGACTCAATGTGTTCAATGAACAAAAAACATGCAGACAGAAATATCGACGAAGGCTAGAAAGGCCGAAGACAACCAAGAAGAGAAGCATAAGAACGACCCTCTGACGAGGGAGAATGTAAAAACAAGGACAACTGAAGACGTGTCGATAGTTTGTTCAATTCAAACAAATATTAGCAGGCGAATATAAAGAAACAAGAGCTGGTGCATTCCGTGTTTTGTTTTCTTTTGCACACAACGTTCGGACAATCGAGTTACCTTGCAAACCAACACCGGAGTTTCTATGACAGAGATTTCGGGGCTGATCGATATGCTTTTGAAGCGTATGATGGTGATTGTTGTTATTGTGATGATGGTAATGATGATGACGATGGTAGTTATGGTTACTCGGATGATGGTTATAATGATTACTGTGGTGATTCGGGAGATAATAGTTGGAGGGGGGCTGGCGATTCGAGTGCCTGGCAGCCGGTAGCGGGTGCTGGTGGTGGTGCTGGTTCATGTGGTGGTTGGCATTGGCATTGGCATTCGCATTGGCGTTAGGGTGAGATCCCGGGAGGAACTGTGGATACACGTGGTGAGACCACTGTGGAAACAGGGGCCGCCCTCCTCCACCACCATTCCCATCTGCTGAGGAACCACATTTAACCACATTACCACGATACTCGATCGTGAATTGACTCTTGTGTCTTGTATTTCGTGCATTTTTCCTTCCTATCTGACTATATTTTTTTCTACTGGGTTCCACTCTGTCTAATCAAGCATATTTTTACAAGCGCTTCAATACGTAGAACTCTGAATACTATAAAAAATACTACTGAACCCTTTTATTAGAACTTATCAATGTATTACCAAAGAAAGAAAAGAAAGAATTACGTCAAATTTCATTTTTCTAGATACGTCTATATAAATAGAGATATCTTTACATATTGAGACTTTCAAATTGGTACAGAAAATATTCATAATTTCAGAACTGAATAACTAACATAGAGTGAAACCTAGCAGAGTCCACGACGAAATTGTATTTCTCTCGGAAAGACAATTGAATTAATGTACTGCATAAAGAGGACAAATATGTGTATCAAATATAGGAGCATCGGACGGCGCACGGTACGTGTTTATAGATAGCACATATCATTGAAATACAACATTTAAATGATACATATATTATCAAACATTCAATTGTTTTTGAAGAAACATGTATGTATGTAACACACGTGGTCATCGAAATTGTTTTGCTTTGTTTCATATCTCGCGATCGATATTCTTGTTTTCTCGTATCAAAAATAACGTATAGTGACATTTAAAACAAATGTATCTAAATCGAACAGAAAAAGTGCTAATGCATTCGACAAACATCAAAACTCTCACTGTCAGATGAATAGAAAAATAGTTCATACAGTGCAATTGGACATGCGCTCTATTCGGTGTGTTGTGCTGTTCGATTTGCCGCTATACAGTTAAAGTGCATTAGTGTTCCACAGCCGCGCTACGTATTTGCATACACACATTTGAGTTATGAATAAAATTGTATCGGTTAATTCCAATTACAGTCCAATCACTTCGATTAATTACAATTAGCATGAATCTGGGGTTTTATTTATGATGTAAATCACCTCCTCGGTATTTCGGAATTGTATAACATGAGATACATGACCATTTCGTTGGTAACAAATCATGCTTTAATGTTGTATCACGTTTAAAAACTAGAAATGTATAGTATATCACAGATAGAGTAAATACAAAACGTAATAATGCATATCTGACATGTAAGAGTTTTGAAGTAACGATTTAATATTATTATCCTGGCCCGAAAAGCAGTTTTGTGTAGAGTCTATTAAGACTAGTATAGAGTATAGATATACATATATTTGGAACTGGACATGCATATGTCAACGGCAATATTAATTTCTGTAATCTGTTCGGAATGTATCAATGTTTTTCTTTTGTTTTTTAGATTCCTACTAATAATCGATCCTATTTTATTCTAGTATTCAAATTCGTTAAATTACTACAATTTGATTACTATGAAACAACGCTCTTTGTGGTTTGTCCCTCTCCCATTATATAAATACGAATAAGCACTTATACCAATTGTTTATTAGCCTTATTTTGTGTCACTTGGTTTTCATAAATTATTTGTTACAAATATCATATTAAAATGTATCTTACCTGAAGGGCTACCCGGTCTCAAACTGGCACCGTTAGTTTGTATCGTTTGAACTGGACTTGGTGGACGTTGTGATATTGGTGGTTCGAGTATATCACGGTACTTGGATACCATTAGTACAGAGATGAAGTAAACTATAGCGAGGGACAGAAACTGAGCCTGCTTGGTTTCTTCCTGGAAATTAAAAAAAGAAAAAATTTTTAAATTCGACAATTCGAAATGAGAACATTTACAAATTTTAGTTGGTACACGATATACTTACAACATCTCTGTATATCACAGCTCTCAAGCGGTTTACGTCCATGTCTTGTAGCAATTTCTCAGGATCTTTTACAGGACTCAATTGGTGTGCCAGATTATCCACTATGTTCTAAAAAAATACAAATTACGCCTTGGTTACCCTTGTCTATGAATAACGTGAACGATCACTGTAATCACTATTTGCTATATGACACAGTTCTCTGGATAAGTATACATGGTGTGTATAACTTCTCGATTATAATGACATGACATATAATATATGTATAAACGTAATTTCTCTATATTTAAGTTTGATCGGATTGATTGAGACATACCTTAGGTGATGTTTGAGCTCCTCGTATGAGAGACTGTATGTGCTGTGATTTATTACTAGTACCAATCTGCCGACCTAACATGCTGTACGATCTGCCACGTTCTTTACACTCTAAGCAGTTTCTAACGGCACATGTACAGACCTATAGAAGCATTTTTAATCAGATGAATATAACAAAAGATATACGTATAAACATATATGTTGTAGTTCTATATTGTATGCATACGGAAACTTGAATTATTACCACTAATTAACACACTGCTGATTAAAAAACTAAACTATCTCTAAGAATTTTTTTGTATACTACTGTAACGTTAAAATGTTTATCTCCATTAGAATTAAATAAGTTTTTTAATTGTGTTCTCGTTCTACCCTGCTCTGATTTCTGATAAATCATGTACATAGATTTTCATAATAGATCATTTATGCGATAATACAGTGAAACCATTAATGTAACTAATACTTTTTGCTGACATAGGCCAGGCCATATCTTCTGTCCTACCTTTCACTATTTCTTGCATTCAACTGCATTGTATATTCAATTGCAACTCAAGAATTAACTCATTTCTTATAACAGAAGGGTCAATAATCGCTAAATGGGCGGTCAGTATATGTTCTTGGGGTAACCGGTTCACTCTGGCCCTTACTTAGTTACGCTAATGAGGGAAACATTGATAAAAATAAAATACTGTCTATATGATCAATCTATAACAGTTCTAATTTAAAAACAGTCCTCGTCTTTCAAAATTATATTGCATTTTTTTCTATTCTTTACATCACATTTCTATCTTTTTTATATCTTGAAAGACGAAGTTCATCTGTGATTAATATTCGTGTAATTATGTAGCGTGTTTCGTTTTTCATAGTGCACGTTGAAACAATTTTCTACAGTTTAACAAATATGTCAATTATTAGATAACGGCAAATAAATAAAAAAAAATTAATTTGATCGACTATAATATTATTGTATCGACTATTGTACTAAAAGTCCGATTACACAGTGTGGTAACAGTGTCGTGTCTATTTGAGAAATAAAAATATTACTACTGTGTGGACGATAATACAAACCAGTCGTAAACACTGCCTTAGAATACCGCCACTAGACATATTCTTCTCGGCTTCCAGTTCACCAAAATTTAAAGAGCTGGCGAAGATAAGTACATCAGCCATGTTGACTAGTCTTTGCAGAAAAGAAACCGCTACCTCAATCGGCATCCCCTGAGTCGGTTCAATTACATCCAATTCGCTCTATGGATATCCAAGCACGAATTAAGAAAAGAATCCGTGAAAATGGACTTTCGCCCGGTAACCGGCTCTATAGTGAAATCGAAAAGCAATTTGTAGATAAGTTACACGTACGTTTGGCGAAGTAGCCGATGCTAGAAGTGGTAATAATCCCCCGCAGGCGATTATTAGATTGTCAGCCAGTTGGGAAATTAGGTGAACGGTATTGACGACAAATATTGCGTTCTCGCTGCTGTTTACAAAGTCTAACACAGACTTCGTGGAGTGGCTGGAACGGAATTTTATATATATACGTAAAGCCTAGAAGTGAACTTGGTATATACATAATTTGTAAAAAGTAACAAATCGTACCTTCTCCATACTTGAATGTCGGTCTCTAACGAAAAGAGAACATCCGAGAGTAATCTTTGATGTATGTACGACCATTTGAATTCTGGTATTCTGAAAGGAGGACGAGATGGCCCTGGACTAAACATTGGTCGCGTGGAAGGATTTCCTTGCTTCGCTCGTTTCGATTCTGCAACAATAACAATAATACGCAACGAGTCAACGTATAGAAGAGATGGTTCGTATTCGACGTATAAAGTAAATTCCTACCGAAATGATTTGGATCCACTTGCGTGGAGGTTGAGGCACTCCTTGGTCGTTTTTGGGGTGACGATGTTTTCCGTAAGGGTGCGGGTATAGAAGGAGGTTCGTTACTGTTAACATTATCGTCGGTGGTTTTCTCGGAGGAGACGGTCGGCAAACTGGATCTGCGATGGGCATCTACATGATCTGGATTTAAGTCATTCAACAACGAATTGTCCCTCGTAACCACCATAGGATTAACGATTTGAGGCACACCGTCGGGTATATTTTTATTTGCATCACAGACCGTAGATATTGTTGGTATTTGCTGCTTAGGATTTGGCACTTGCGTCACATTATCTACAGAACTTTGAATATCGCTATTACTACAAACACTATCCGTTACCTCTACCTCGGGCTCAGTTCTCACCGGAATGTCTGCATGATTATCACTTACGTTAGTAGAAATAGTGGACGGCTCCCTTGAATGTTTTTCGTTTACCTTCTCATTTTCTTCGTTATCATTAATAACAGCACTTTTCTCCTCTGTCACAGAGTCAACGGCAGATTTTTCACTACTTAACTCACTAGTCACTACTGTATCCACGTTCTTCTCTTCTACTACGTCTACATTCTTCTCGTTACCGGTCTCGGTACTTTCTATTACGCTAGTTGAGCAACTGGAATTTTTCACCATCTCCTCAGTTTCGTTCTCGACGCTGTTCTCAACGTCAACGTTCTTTTCTTCCGGCTTCTCCGTGGTTTCGTTATCCGAGGTGATATTACTGTCGATCTTCTCCTCCTCTTTCAATTTCATGTCACCCAAATTGTCTTGGTTCTCTGTTGGTGTTAAATACGCTTCCGAAGTATCGCTGTCGATCACTTCTCGGTCTTCTAATTGCAACTTCTCGATGTCCTTGATAATTAATGGCTCTGGTGTCTCGGCGGAGGAAGCAGGTAGCACAGATTCCGATTCCGATTCACCTTGTTCTGGAATAACAACGTCCGTTGAACTTTCATCCGCTTTTTCAGCATCTGTCTCTTCCGTCTTTTCATTACTTTTCTCGAAAGAAATCTTGTCATCAGAAGGAGTACTGTCATCAATGCTAGACTCTTGTTTACTTATTTCTTCAATTTCTTTCGCAGGTGCTTCAACTTTACTTTCAGTCTCAGGTTTATTTTCAATTTCAACCTCAGTTCTGGCTTCGGTTTCAGTTTCGACTGCAGCTTCGATTACAGTTTCAACTGCAGCTTCGATTACAGTTTCAACTTCCTCTTCCTGTGACTCTGCTTTGGCTTCTTTTTGTTCATCAGAAACGACAGTTTCAGTATTTGCGTTGTCTTTTGGTATTTCTATTGTTTCCTCTGTCTTCGAGACGTCTTCCGGTTTATCTTCTTTTCTTTCCTCTGCTTGTTCAGTGTCAGGTGGTTGAGGGATGGTTTCATCTTGTGATTTCTGTTCCGACGATTCGTCATCTTTCTTCAAAACTTCCTGCGTCGTCATCGAATCGGGACTAGAACCTTCGATCTTCTGCACCTCGCTGTAGAAGTCGCTGGAGCTGCCTATCGATAACGCTTCGCTGGTCTCGTGTGTCGTTGGGATGGAGACCGCCTCGCTATTTCCCTCTTCGAGGATCGTTGGTGTGTCCGTGTGGATTTCTCGCGCCGTCGTCGGTGTTTCCGGTTTGTCGCTTAATCTGGAGTCTAAGGACATCGCTTCACTTGACTGAGCTGTGTCCAGAGTTTCGCTATGCGATTTCACGATTGCTGGACTGCCATCGCTTTCGGTGTTATCTATGGAATTCAAATCGCAACTGCAGGACTCCTCCAGTCGTTCGTTTCCTTCAGTCCCATCGAACTCCTAAAAGTGATTGTAAAATAAATTCCACTTTCACTACTCATTTGCGTTTATGTTATGGACTTATTGATATTTATTAAAGTTATATCGAACCTTGTAGTTTCTTTCTACATGTTGCACTTCATGGTTTTGTTGATTGCCCCAAGATGATGGTTTGTTGTAACCATTATTCCCCGAGTGCTGTTGATCCCAACCGGATATGGTACTGATCGGCCTTTGCTGTCTCAATTCGGGATCCGTGATGTTGTCTGACCGTTGTCTCTCGTAATGTTCGTACATTTGAGCGAACTGAAGCTTGAATTCCTCATAGGATACCTAATATGATAAAAATTAATTGGCCATATAAAAACAGGGCAAATAGATTTTAGATTAATGGTTTACCTTGGAGTGCACGATGGCCAAAGTGTCTACCCACACACGCCACCCGCCGTATTCGTGCTTGATGGCATGATGTAGGAGCATGCGAAATAACGAATATACCATGTCCGAGATCTTTTGTTCTTCCGTGTTCTTCGGGTGAATGTAGGCCATGGCTATAAGCCACTCCTGCCATACAGACATCTGCAGAACAGTTCGACGATTCTCGCGATTATTATTGCACAACAATGTCATATCCGAGAGGAACAGCTTCTTCACTTCGAGCAGTTGCTCCGTTTGTTTTGATTGTCGTATTAACGTTGCTACTACTTTTAAGATCACTAAAGAAATACGTATAGACATTAACGAATATTCTGTGTTTTCTTGGCGCGTTTAGGTCGTTGACTTACTTGGATTTTCTAAACGATAATGGGACTCGGGTTCGGGGTGTCTAGCATAGAGAATTTGTTGACTAATGTGTTCCGTCATAATCTACAAAAGGTGTTTAAAATTAAAAAATTGTAATTAATAAATAACATAAGAATAGATCTTCTATTTTTATAACGAAATATGTACCTCGTATAAAACGTTGTAAGTTGGAAGTGACAGTGTCTCCTCATTCAACAGCAATCGTTCGGCCAGCAACGTGTACAGATTATGTGGACTCATAACATCGTATTTTCGTCTGTAATTAGAACGATTGCATAATATGCAATAAATGTATGTATTTGGTACTTCATCTACAAAATTTGTACACATACTTATGTGTACTGCGACTCAAAAAAAATCCCAACAGTTTCAAAGCTTGTAAGCGTATTAGCTGGCTTTCTGCTGCCAACAGTTTGAAAATCGTCCTGACACCGTGCTTCGCGTCAAAAGCGGGTACCATGGACGACGGGTGTTCCGACATTAAAGAAATAAGCATTTGCAAAACATCGTGCAAATTTTCGTCCTATAGAAAGATATAATAAAATCTTCAAACTCTTATCATCATACTATTTAAAGATTAGTTCAACTGAAGTAATTTAAGTCTTTTTGTTAATTCAATTAGTACGTTTTCTTTCCTAATTTTACCTCATGTATTGTCGTTAGGTAATTCAGAATACTCTGCAACTCGTCGTCCTTTACTCCATTCCCGATCATAATCAGTTGTTTCAGAAATAACAAAATATAAGAACGGATTATCAAAATATCCTTCTGTTGAGGGCGCGGTCCATCTGCAATCAACCGGAACCACGCACGTCCAATTGAGATCCATTCAATCAACTTAAGTACATGAAGATTAATCTTTTTAATAATTCGGAATTGCTCACCTAGTCCTTTTGGCGTGATTCCGCTCTTAGCTCGCGGATTGGCAACCCAGTAGTAATATTTAAGCGTGTGCACTGTTTGTAATACTGTGGATACCCTTCTCACGTTAGAATATATCTGTGTGTCACTGAGGAACTCTGTGGCCAAGTACGAATAAAGCCGCGTCTGTACCGGCGCGGGCGTATATATCCACAGAGCGGGATTAAAAAGAACGTGGTCCAATAGCTGCCATGTTAGGAATGAAAAGTAAAACGACTACATCACCATGGATCTGCCTGTTCTTCGGACACATCAATCTAGCCGACTTTTATATGCTCTTATGGTATTTGAATACCCGCCCCTTCGGGCTCATTGCTTTCATTTGCAAGTACATTTTTTATATTTTAAGGAATGTAAAATTGTTTGTAACGATGGCAATTTTGTGCTCACACATGTATAATCTTGTCGTTGAGGAATTATAGGAATAGGAATTTGATGTTTCGAGGTGTGCAACGGGGAACACAGGCGAAGGGATTTCAAACCAGAAAAATATTCAGTGCCGAAAAATTTACCTAATATTTTTGGATCTCGTAAAAATTTATAAAAGTTGTCGCAAACAAAATTAGAGCGACATTTCGTGTTCAACATTCATGCACCGAGAAATAAATCAGAATTTCGTAGCTCCGTAGGCAATTATTAAAATGATACTGTACAATAATGATCCTTCTTTCTTTCGTGACGTATTTGTTCGTTACAAAATATCAATATTTAAATGTGCGTAGAAAGGAAGTAGTTGAAGCCGAAGCGAATTAGTGAAATTAAAAAAAATTCAAATTTTTTCACGTATACAGCATCGTTTCGAATAAAAGGCTCAGACAATTCGATGATAAATAGAATTCCGCTCAGTGTTCCAGAAAAATAAGAAGTAACAGAGGTAGAAGTTTTCGTAATGGAAAGCGATTTGGTGTGAACAAAAAAATATTTTGCGTAGCCAGATTATGAAATCAGGAAGTCTAAAAGTCGGTAGATTGCATGCGATCCAAAGATTCAAGTAACATAACGTTGTTTCGTGAAAAAATCGTTTGTCGCTCATGCTAAACAGAATCAAAATCACTAACAAAAATGTGCGATATAAAGAGCGAATAACATACTCATATGTACAGAGCGCCTACAGCAGTTTTTATTATATACAAGCTAATGCAACAAATTTATTACCGGGATAGATAAATGATAATAAAAGTGAACTATAATCATTATGAAACAACCGAACGCACAGTTGCTTCGAACATGCCCCTATATTATGAATAAAACAAAAGGAGGAAAATGAAGAGTAGGGTTGTAACGTAAGTGTCGAGATATTGTGGAGTTGGGAAACACGCTGGAACGTTTTAACGTTGATCGTGCTACGGGAATTTCGATGTAAACTATAGGAAATACAAACCCTACAGACTTGACGTTGGCTATCTAATTGTGATTAATTTGTTTCATACGAACATTAATCTGCTTAAATAAATTGATCTACGTTACATATTTACATATTATGTTTTAATTGTGCAGCTTTCTGAAAGGGCCTAATTGTTCTATAAAAATAATCGCATTTGCATTGTCACGATTTCTGAAAAGCTACTCAATTATTATCTACCATTTTCGTGCAAGATCTTTATTCCTGTAGATCTACTTGAACCTGATCGAATTTCGATCACAATCGAGTTCTACTTTCAGCGAAAATCACAACATTAGATTTTAACGCTTAATTCTAATTAAATCTGATTCGTACTCTGGGAGCAAACTAATGACTAAATCGATACCTGTTTCAATAACAAATCGCTGTTGGCGCTGAGACAGGTGACCAGGTGTTTCGTGAGCCCCAAGAAGGATACTAGAACCTCAGTCGTCAGGTGGTCTCTGCTAGCTCTTTGCAGCATGTAGCTGATCACCAAAAAGCCTCGGTTTTGTACCATATGTTGCTGCACGGTTTGCGAACTTTCGACCAGATCGCAAATAAACCCCAACAGTTTCGAACTGAAATTTGAGATCGCATGCCAATGTCTCGGCTATTCGTTTTATTGAATGGGAAGACCTTCTTAGGTGATGTATTTACCATAACGTTGGATCTCGTTTAACATCGTTCGGCTCTACGCAATCGTAAGGCATATCTAGTTGTGAGAACAAAGGGAACAATACTTGAATGCCACCAATCGAGTTCAACGTGCTATGAATGGAATGGGTGATGACAGCTTTAACATCCTGCAAATAGACAGTAAAATGTTCGAACGTTCTTTGCACGTACACCCTACGGTTCGATATTTCACGCTCGGATGTGCAGAAAATTGGAACGCCATGGAAAACAAATTGCTCTTCATTCTTGCATCAAAAAGTTATTGTTCTCGAACCGTAAATCAATAATTGTGACAAAATTTTGTAGTCTAGGGGTGCACGAGGGATTTGTTGACGCTTAAGAAAAATTGTAAATTAAACCAATAATATTAACATTATTTATATCTTTCGTCGATAACAAAACTTAAAATATTTAAAATATTATTGGAAATAAAATTATAACAATGATAAAACATTTGGATTGTGTTTAGCGTTCCACCATTTTCTTTTTAATCCGAATACAATTCGTTTGAAATTATACCTGCAGCATAAGGGCGTGTGGCGTATGTACAAAATAGGAGACATTGCCTTTCGGTGCGCTCTGTAGACAAAGTTGAGAATCCGTTGCTACTGGGTTGTACATGAACACAATCGCATTCGACAGCTTACCATCGTAAAGCACCTATAAAACGGAAAGTTAACATCAGCCAAACACTTTGTTAATTATATTTTTCAAAATTATGCAATCTCTGCAAGCCATAACGAATGTTTGAAAGTTCACTGAATAGAAACAAATGTACACAATGTCGTACGTCGTTGCTCCTCGGAGAGCAATTTTGTGTGGGATAAGCAGTACTGCAGAGAAAAGCAAACTTTCAACGTTTACTCATGACTATTCAAATCGCCGACTACATGTTAAACAAGCAAACGTGGCACACATCACAAACGAAACTGAACGTGATTTTAGTTCAAACAGACAATGTAAATCTTGAAAAGGGTCGTTCAGGCAGATTCGATGTCATTTTCGAGTATCAGTTACCCATCAGTCGCAATGTCCATTGCTAATAACTTCTATCCCAGTAACGACTATTTGTATCACCTAAAGGATTCTTTAGCTACGTACATATAAAATACACACAAGCAAATATACTTTCCACGGAACTCAATTACTTAACAAAAGTTACAAAATTAATTAAAGTATTGCTACATGTCTACTTCGACAAGAAAGCATCAGGCAGAACATAAATTTTCGTACAAAAATGAATTGTGTTTGTCAAATAAAAATTATAAACAAGCAAGTCACACGTGATCGATGGACGTAAACGTTATGTTTAATATTACGTAACGTTTAATATTCATGTTCATTGGGTACTAATGGTATTTGTAGAGATTGGTCGATAATCGGGGGTAATTACCTCTGACGAACTCGAACGCAGTAACAGAGTGATTAAACAATGTGCAAATCAAATGTAAACGGGGAGAAAATGAAAATAAAAATGCTTACAGTTTGCATACTTTGGTCCACCATGCTCGTGAGCTCCGGCTCATCACTCACCCTTTTGTGATTGTCAGGTAGATTCAGGTAACACTCGTTGTCAAAACGAAACTGACTCTACGAACACAAGATGAATACATATGAATTTTTATGTAAGAAATAGACAAATTGAAGTAATCATTAAAAAAGAAATGCAGGGTGTTCCAGGATGCACAATTTTCTTCTAAGGGTATGAAAGACTAATTTTTTGAAATTTGAGTATATTTAAACATAATAAATGATAAGAATCAAATTTTTGTGGGTTTTCTGAATTAAGTATACCTTATATCCAGGCCCCAGTCTATGCATAGCGCATATTTGATGCGTAGTCAGTGCTTCGCTGAACAGATAAATTGCGCTCATCTGTCCGCAAAATACGCGCTCTTCATCCCGTTCCGGTGTAGCTCCGATGTAACATTTGTCAAAAGGCTGTAAATCACGTTAGAACCATATCTGTTGATTACTTCTCCTTTGATGTTAAATGTATCAGTTTAGTGATCACAATTTCAATCGTGTTTTAATTGCGGTGCGCAAATACTAGTGCACTAGTAAACAGGAAATTACTTACGTCGTTTGTCGAAACGAACCACGCCATTTCGGTACTCGAAGCCAACTGACCGTTGACCAAACATTTAATTTCACTTTTTGTCCATCTATTATATATGTATACTACAGCGATCATATACCACTGCGAAAATAAACATGACGAGTCTTGGTAAAAGAGTTTTCATATAGTTGAAGTTAAAGCTAACACATTAGCAAATCGGTCTCTGATGTTTGCTCTTTATATGTTTTTTGAATTTTTGTTTTAAATGGATCATTTTTTCATAAATATCTATACGGCGTACCTTTCGCGGTTGAAATTCATATTTGACACAATGCTGGAAGCCCTTGCCCTTCACTTTCATGGAGGTGAGGACCAAGCAGTTCCCTACGAAGTGCGCAGAGTAGCCTACACCCTTGCTAGTTTTAAAACTATGAACAGAAAGCAGAGAAACAAGCTCGGACGCAAATAATTTGATTAATGTCGACGGAATTCCTGTTTTAGTTCTATTGGAATAGCGATCTATTTTGTAAACGAAAAACAACAGAACTCGGGTATACAGAAATCGAATTGTTTCCTCGTGAAAGAATGCGATCAAATTGCTGCTATGATACTACGCATTCCAATAGGAGCACCTTTTTTTGTGTGTGAAGTCGAACGGACTTTTCGATCACATGTATTCGCAGAAATATCGCTGGAATTTTCTCTTTTACCTATCTTTTGCAAATTTTCTATTCTCTGCGTTTGTTCACGAAAGTCAGTAACATAAACTTTTCTTTAACGGTAAGTCTGCCACTTCGATTCAAGAGGGTGTTCTCGCGTAGAGGACTTGATGTAAGAGCACTTACCAGTAGAGGTACGGCTTTTCCCGTTCGATATTAACGGAGTTGATGGGGTCCAAGCGGAACCACGTGGTGAACGTGAATCCGTTCTCGTGTGGCCATTTCGCGAGCGGCGGCAGAACAATTGCCTGGGATAAATTGTTCAATGATCATAAATGGAATTGAGAAACATCATAAATAAACACTACAAACTTTCTATCATAAGTCAGAATGATTAGAGAAATAGTACACGTATGTATTTGTAAATCAATAATAAATTAAAATCATACATCTCGAGATACCCTAAAAGTAATTTTTCAGTTCGTATGTTCACAAGTAGGAAGGACATGAAATATTTTTCAGGACGGTGGAAAGAACTTCCATTCCATAAAATGAAAGTTTTGATTCTTGAATATACATTCGTTGCATAAAACCTTTATGATTACACTACTGCACTGGTATCGCGCGTGCCCAAACTTCCTACCAAGTTCGTGCCTTCCTCTTTGACTGCTACTTTTTCAAAGTTATGCATTAAAGGAAACGTTCGAAACAGTTCTTCCAAGCTAGAAACTTCTTTTGCTTGAACGCACTGTATCACGTAAAAGTTTCCATCCTTCGGAGAACCCACTGAACAGTTACAAATGTCGCCTATACTAGACGACGTTTTTCAGATAGATTTTCTGACAAAGATTCTACGTTTCCAGTTTCAAT